GCCGGAGCACTTCAAGCAATACCGCCTCGCGGAACGTGTGCCGGCCTCCCCCCCCCCCCGCCCTCTCTCTCTCTCTCTCTCTCTCTCTCTCTCTCTGGCCCCCTCCTGCCATGGACGAACAGTGGTGCGTGGCAACCATGTCCAGGTTTCCCCTTGCCCCCTGACTCCGCTCCTTGTGCGATGTTCTCACCTCGCCGCCCTCCAGGCTCGAACATGAGGCCGAGGCAACATCTTTCGATTGGCTGGATGCACCCCTCGCCCCGACCGGAGGCGGGTTCGGCTTCGCCGCGTCCCTGCTGGAATCCGGCCCCGATGTAGCGCCGCCCCTGCTCGGCACCCCGGGGCCTGGCCCCTCCGAGCGGACCCTGTCCAATAGCGACTGGCTGGAGCCCTTTTCTTCTGCCTCCACCGGGCGCCTCCCAGCGGCGTCCAACCCCGGCAGTTCACTTTTGTCGGCCGAAAGTTTGCTCGATGTCACGCTGCCAGGATGCCCGACCGGCGACTCGCCCTCCCTCGATCTACCCCCGGGCCCCGGGGCCTTTGCCCTCGGCGATCCACTCCTGCCGGTTGGGCCGCCCTCCAAGCGCCTTCACATGTCTCCGCCGCCCGCACTCTCCATGCGGCAGTCAGCCCCTTCCGTCGGTGCGTCGGCGGGGGTTCCATCCCGCTCCAAAGGGATCGTGCCATCTTCTCTCTCCCTCTCTCTCTCTCTCTCCCTCTCTCTCTCTCTCCCTCTCTCTCTCTCTCCCTCTCTCTCCCTCTCTCTCCCTCTCTCTCCCTCCCTCCCTCCCTCCGAGCATCGTATTCACACGCAGAAATGCCCATCCCCATGCTAGCCCACATGGACCTCCTGGCACTGGCCGAGGCCGAGCCTCCGGCAATTGGCCCCGACACCTCGGAGCCCCAGCCAAGCACGCCCCCACCCCCGCGGCAACCCCTGGCCCCCCTTCGGCGGTCCCCCTCGCGTGATGTGGCCCATGTCCTGGACTTGATCCAGCAGCAGGACCAGATGTACGACGATCTGGCGCTGGTGAATCAGCTCCTCACACCGGAGAAGGAGGACTTCATCGCGCTGCCTGCCCTCCTGCCCTTGCAGGCGGCTTCCGACGTGGCTGCCGTTCTGGCCGTCGCCATGGAAGCGCCCTCCCCGCCGGAGGTGGTTAGTGTCCACCGTCTTCGGGAGCAAATGCTGGCCGGCGAGGACTCGCCAATCCCCCCCCCTTGTATTTTGAATGTCCCGGCGGCCAGCCAGCCGGAGCTTGCGCCCCGGTCGAAGCCCCACTTTCCCGACCCCGGCCCGCCCCTTCCGGCCCCGGTGTCCCTGCTCCCCCGGCCACCCCCGCCGAGTGCCCTCCCACCACCGCCGCCACCGCCACCACCACCACCACCATCGGAGCCGGCGCCCGAGTTCAGCTCCCCCATGTCCGGGGCCTGCTCGGCCGCTCTGGCCGAGCTGAAGCTGCTGGACAGCTCCCTGAGCGAGGCCGCCGACTCGGGGGACGACTTGCTGCTGTTCCCGCCGGCCGCCGGCTCCGGCCCCGGCCCCGGCCCCATGCCTGCCTCCTCCCGGATATCCACTTCCACCACCATCCGGCAGCCGGATCCGGACTTGACCGCCGGGCCTGGTCCAGGGCCGGTCCCGGCGTCGCGGCTCCCGGTGCGCGCGGCGCCGCCGGGCCTCGTGCACCCGGCTCTAGCCGTGCGCATCGGCCTGGTGCACCCCCTGCCGCCGGCTCACCATTTGGCATCGCACCTGGCCCGGCACCCGGATCTCAGTCGCGAGTCGCGCCTGCCGGTCCCCACCCACCCCTACAGCCTGGGTCTATTGTGAGGAATACACGCCAGCTGCCAATGCTCCTGCTCCGATCGCACGCGCCCACCAGGGCCCCGGGGTCAGGGCTGCGGGAGCAAAAAACATGTGGGACCTGGGCGGAGAAGCGTGCCCGGGGGCACGCCCCGCCCGCACTTCCTGCTCCTGTGCCTCTCTCGCCCCCCCCCCTCCCATCTTTCCGCCGATCATGACCTCTCTCAACACTGAAGCCGCCCTAAACCAGCTGATGGCGCACATCGAGCACAACCCCCTGCATCGTGCGCCATCGCTGGATGCCGAGCAGCTGGACGAGGCAACCACCGCCGCCGAGGGGGCCGTCTTCGCGGCCCTGCAAGCGCTGCCGCCATCGCACTTGTCTCTCTTCGCCGCGGCGGCGGCCGGCAACGCCGGCCCGACGGTGGTCGATCTGCGCAGCGACACCGTCACCCAGCCGACCCTGGCCATGCTGGACGCCATGACCATTGCCCATGTGGGCGATGACATTTGGGGCGACGACCCGACCACGCGCCTGCTGGAGGAGACCGCCGCGCGGGTCCTGGGCAAGGAGGCCGCTCTCCTGATGCCGAGCGGCACCATGGGCAACCTTGTGGCCGCCATGGCCTGGTGCCCGACGCGCGGCGCCGAAATCCTCGCCGGTGCCGAATCGCACCTGGTGGTGTGCGTCCGGCCCTTTGCCCGTCCCCCCTTTGTCGGCTTCTCCCCTGCCTGGTCCTTTGCCCCGGGTCTGGCGGCGGGGACCCGGCCCTTCGTCCTCCGCCCCCCCC